TTTTAGGACACCCAAGGACACTTTACAGGAAAAAACACAAGATTTTTCAGTGCTTCTATGGTGTTTTTAGGACTTTTATAGTGATTTTAGTGTTTCAGTGCTTTCAGGGTGCTTTTTAGTGGTTTTAGAGTGTTATTAGTGCTTACAGAGTGTTTTCGGTGCTTTCAATTTTTTTGTAGTGCTTTTAGAATGTTTTTAGTTCTTTTAGTGTTTTCAGTGCTTTTAGAGTGTTTTTAGTGTACATTATTCTTTTGTGTTCATCCTGCTTCAGACAGACGTTCCACTATTTTATATTTTGTTTATGATTTACGTTGCTATACGTTGGTATCTGATGGATGCTCCTCCATTAATTAACTTTATCAGCATTAAGATAAAAAATGTTAAATGTTTTCTATACCCCGCCACCCGCACCCCCATCCCTGAGATTTAAGGGTTTCAGGTTAACACAACTTTAGGCGCCTCCAGAACATTTTAATGGGGACTTTTAGAGWTGTGGAGATGTAYAAGAAAAGCTAAAGTTGTTTTTAATCTTAAAAATAACAGTAAACAGTTTAGTAAATTTCATCAATCTAAATACACAAATTTATTTTTAGTGTTTTCCTGCAGCTGCTCAGAATAAAAACAGTAAAGCATAATGAAAACTGTTTTTATTTAAAACATCAGATTCAGCCGTTTAAAATAAGCCAGCTGTTTTCTGGGCAGAGCCTGCTAAAATTTAACTAGTCTTTTTTCAGAATATCAGAGAAATTTTAAAGAAAACGAAGCAGAAAAACAGTTTTGTTTCATTTTTCTATCTTCAAAACATGTTAGAAGTCATTTTTTACACAGCAGCTAATGAACAAACAGCTTCAACCACTTCAGAATGAAGAAKTTTGAACTCACCAACAAGACATAAAAAGGTTTTAATCCACATTTTCCCAGAGTTAAATGCAGACAAACATCCTGAGTTTCTGAAAACATTTGTTTCCCAGGAAAAGAAAAACGCTTCAGGGACACCAGGCAGAGGAAATACAAAACTCTACAGAGACAGACTGACTGCAGCTGCAGAGAGGAGGAGGAGCKGGAGGGGCTGAAAGCTTCAAATACCAGGAAACATTTGCATTATTTACTGAACTGTTTCTGTTATCATTTAATTCTACATCTGCTTCTATCTGACAAATAACCTAACTCTATTTTAACCGCCTTTATTCCAATTTTATTCTGTTGTCCCAAAAACATGAGTCAAACATTTCAGTCATTTTAGAACTGAAAACATTTAAAAAATTAGGTAGAGGCTATATACAGCAAGTGGTTCGCTAAATGTATCAAACGAAGCAAAAGGGCTATAAAYCTAGCTGAAAAAGGCTAGCTAAAAACAGTAAAAGTAGCACATGGGAAAGTATTTCTAAAAAGTTACTTATTTTGAAAATTATGTTGCAAAAACTAACTGCCAGCCCCCTTCAGAAACAGATCAAAGTCTGAAGAATCAGTTTGATTGTAAAAAAGGTGTTTTTTTAAGCTCCTGTTCTGGCTGCTTCCATTGGTCCAATCTTCCAAACAGCGAATTTCTCTGTGTTTCTTTTCAAATAAATAAAAACTAAAGATTTAAAACCCATCATGAACAAAGTGTCTTCAGTCTTTTCTTCCTGCAGCATCTTTAATCTTGCATTCGAGGCCTGTTTGTGACTGAACACTAAACCACACGGCACTTCCTGTTGACTGATTCCAGATCTGTGCTCGTCCACTCAGACTGTGGTGTTACCCACACTCTGACCCACATCACGACAAGCAGAACACTTTCCTTTAACAGTCCATCTCACTTCTGCACAACTGAACCATAGAAACACATTTCTCACACAACCTGCAGCCAACATCAAACTTTTCAACTAAACTGTTCTGGGGGCCACAGTTCCTGCAGGCCAACAGCTAACATGCAATTACAATCATTAATGTGAATAAACCAAGTATGACTAAGATCTGATATCTTTGAAACAGTTTATTTAATTTTTATTTAATCATGAAGATAACATACAGAACCCTATGTAATAGCAATAGAGATAATAAAATATCTAAAACAGAAATAACACATCATGCCTCCTGTTTAACACAAATATAATTTTGACATCTCTGATTTTTTAAAAATTTTAAATCATTTTTTCACTTTCATTGTTTTATTATCAACTGCTTGTAGTTTCAACTGTCTTGGGTGTTCATAGAAATGTTTTTTTTCCAGCATCTAGTTAAGATTCTGATGTTTCTCAAGACACCACACATTTCTTTGTTGAACTAAATTAACTTACGGTAATTAAATTAGAAAACCGGGGGTTTTGACCAAATTTTGGTCACTTGCAGGTCAGATGTGGCCCGCAGGCCGCCAGTTGAATAGCCCTGGTCTAAACTAAATGGTTTAAACTAAAAAGTCTAAATTAAAGAGCCCAAACTAAAGGATACAAACTAAAGGGTTTAAACTAAATTGTCTAAAGCAGGGCTATTCAACTAAATTACTCCGGGAGCCACAGTTACTGCCGGTCAACAGCTGAGGGGCCGAACATCCAGCAATTAAAGTCATTATGTAAATAAACCAAGTAATATATAGATCTGTTACCTTTGAAATAGTTTATTTTGTTGCTTTTAACCATGAATACAACATACAGAACCCTATAAAAGTAGTGATAATTACAC